ACCAGCCACCATATCACAGTACTTTTTGAGCTTGTACATGTGAGATTTAACCATCAGCTAAAATTTTAGTAGACAACAACAAAGAAACATGAGATGTAACTATCAGCACTGCAAAGTTTAGCTGACTTCAGCAAACAGAAGACAGGTGTAACTATCAACTCTAGTGGCGAAAAGGAATTTGACAATTCTCCTAAAGGACATCAACAATGGTATACACAGAACATAATCTTAGTTCTTTTCCTATTTACATGGATGGGGAACAACATCCATAATGTCACAACATCCAGTCTGAGACTGAAGTTAGAAGGAGTGAAGGCAGCTTTTTAATAACTGGAGATTAGTAATGATCAACATGTAACTGTAATGGATTCAGAGTGTGCTTCAGAAATAAGAAACTGGTTTACAATGCAAAGAGGGATTGCACTGCTCAAATAAGACAGATCAGGGGTATATCATGGACTTTCTGCATATGTCATCTTGGTTTGAGACAGACTGGCTGCCTTAGGGTGGTGAGCTATTTTTGTGATAATGTGTACGTGCTGAAGGCTTTCTGGGATATAGTGCAAAATATTGATAACTGGTTCAGCAATAAGTGAGCAGACAGTCTGAATGGTAAATGCTGCAGTTGGCTCCCTTCATTATGAGAACTCTTTGTTAGCTCTTGAGGAAGGAGACAGAACACTTGTGGAAATGTATCAAGTTCTATGATGTGAGTTCTTAAACCATTCGCTAATTTTTTTAGTGTGGATTCCGGGGCCCCAATGGGATTTTGGGTGGGGGATTTTGTGGACAGACTCACTGCTTCCAACCCCTCCCTCCCCCCACAAAAAAAAACCCATGATGTCAGATACAACTAAGACTAATAAAAGGTGTTTTATTTGAAGTAGGAGTGCACTTATCTGAGAGGCGAGGAACTAACAATCTGCTTACAAGTAAGTCAGATCTGTCAAACAAATGTGCTCATAAAACTCTTGACTAGACAAGATCACAGTCTACAAGTGGATGAACCACCACACTTTTCCCCCAGATTTTACAGCTGGAGAATGCTAAAAAAGAAGAAAAAGATTCATTCATTTATCTGACTCACACAAAAACAAAACACACACACACACCTCACATTACCACTGAAATTGTGTGTACTTACTGTCATTCTTGGGCATCACACGCATTAGCACAAACACATGCAAATTGACGAGAACTCCATCAGTGCTGAGAAGACAGGCATAGACTCCTTCATAATGATGACTGGAGTGTAGACTGATGGAACTGACTGTCTGGTTTACTGAATCCTGGTAATTATTCACAGCATGAGGTGTGATTAGCAAATTTTTTGTAACAACTGAAGTGTAGTGATTAATGCTCTAAGTTACCAGCACATAGATCCAGGGTTCAATCCCCAGTCATTAACAGACTTTTAATTGGAAGCAGACAATAAACAAGCCAGCATTTTGTTGACCTAGTCAGCAGTGCATTGTTACGTAATCAGCATGGAGCAAAAAGCTAACATTAAATTCTGTTTAAAACTCAGAAAAGAGTTCCATGAGACAGTTGAATTTATGCCACAAGTTTTTAGGGATAAATGTTTATCTCATGCATTGATTTTCAGGTGGTATTCATATTAAGAATTAAAAGTGGTGTGGAAATTATTACTAATGCAACTAGACCTGGATGCCCAATTTCTGTTTGTAATAAGGAACTCATTGCAAAAGTAAGGGAATGGATTATTTGACTGCCAGAGAGACCATTTAATAGAGAGACCATTTGTAAAAGTTTAGTGGAAGATTTTGGCAAGAGAAATGCTGCTTGCTGGTTTGTACCACATTCATTGTCTGATGACTAAAAACATCAGCGTGTTGAGTACACAAATGACATCATCAAAATGTGTCACAGAAATAGACATTTCTTAAATCCGACTGTTGCTGAGGATGAAACATGAATTTTCCACTATGATTCCACAACTAAACGCCAAAGTGCTCAGTGGAAGTCATCATCGTCAGAAAAAGGAAAAAAATATGTCTTCAGAAGTCAAAAGTGAAGACAATGTTGATGCGCTTCTATGACAGCAAAGGAGTTATTCGCAAAGAATTTATTCCAAAGGGACAGACTATCACAGCCACAGTTTATACAAGTATTTTGAAACGTCTACTGAAAAGGAGTCGGCGTCTGTGGCTTAGGTGTTGCGAATGCGCTTTGTAATGCTGGGTAGTCAGGTTGGATCCAGGGCCTTGCGCCCTGCATTGGTTTCGACAGTGGTATCGAAAAGCCGACCGTCCAGAAAGCAATAGCAAACTACTGGACGTTAACTACCTAGAAAAACCAAAACAGCCAAAAAATGCTGGGGATGGTTGTGCAATGTCCTGTAAAGGATACACAACTAGCTAACTAACTGAAAATGATTCCCGGAGTCCGATCTGAGTATTCAACACCTGGAAGTTTTTTCCTTCTTCATGACATTACCAGGCGGTAACTGTACAGGAATTTTTTGCCCCCAAAAAGTATGTGTTTTCAACCATCTACTCTGTTCCCAAGAATCGTCTCCCTGTGATTTTTTTTCTTTTCCTAAAATTAAAGTTACCATTGAAAGAATACAACAACACGATGTGCCTATGGTCGAGGCAGCCAGAAGAGCTAGAAACAGAACCTTATATCTCCCTCGACACCCACAGCGGTAAAAGAGGAAGTGAAGAAGAAGAAGATTGAAAGAACACTTCTCTGATGATACTGATGACATCCAAATGGCTGTACTGTAACATTGACTTTAAGGGCCATAACAACAGAAGAACTATAGAGGTCGTTGCAGTTTTTGTTAAGATCGTGCCACCAGCAGTATCAATGCATAAGGGGCCCACTTTGAAAAAAATACAGGTAATTTCTTCAACTGTTAATTTTTAAAATTGTTATGAAAATAGTCTTATTACTTAATCGTCGGACCTTGTAAAATCATCTTCACTGTTTTCTGTTACAAGTTTCTTCTTTTTCAACAATCAACATTTGCTATGCATCTACCTGTAATCAACTAGTCACCCCTTTGTAGGATGCAATTTTTCCTTATTTTGAAGCCCCACCCTGGCTCTTGCCAGGGGCCGCAATAAAGCTTGGCCATAAATATGGCCTAGTGGCTGAACGGGTTTTTTGGGACCTCTCCACGGGTGATCCTCATCCGCATGGTGGCACTTTGTGTCATCGAGTGTTTATCGCTTGTGTGATGTTCTGGTGGGGTAAAATGTACTACTACTACTATGCTATGTATTTTTTTAATCATTGTTCCCCTGTGTGATGCAATTTTTTTTGTTATTTAAAGCTCAACCCTGGCTTCTGCAGGGGACTCTGAATATAGCAGGACTATAAATTAATGGTAGTACCTATATACATAATGCAGTTTTGTCCTTTTTTAGGACCAAATTTTTTGTTATTTGAAGCCCCACCCTGGCTTTTGCCAGGGGCCGCAATACAAGCAGGCCATAAATGTGGCCAATTGTCTGAACGCGGTTTCTGGGACCTCTCCACGGCGATCCTCATCCACATGGTGGCACTTTGTGTCATCGGGTGTTAATCGCTTGTGTGATGTTCTGGTGGGGTAGAAAGTCAGTCAGTCAGTCAGGACTATAAATATGCCCTAGCCATAAATATGGCCATAACCGCTTAAAGGGGTTTCTGGGACCTCTCCACGGGTGATCCTCATCTGCATGGTGGCTTTTTGAGTCACTGGGTGTTTATCTCTTGTGTGATGTCCTAGTGGGGTACAACTACTCACCTACTTATGCATCTTTTCCAACATGGTTCAAAAACAGGATGGTGCACTTGAGATCTTCCCCAATCCAAAAGAGTTTTATCTTCAAGATTGGCTGTTTTTGGCTAGATTTCCTCTCTCTGCCTGGAAAAATCTGGGCAGCCTTGTGAAACTTGCTTTGGAGTCTGCTCTGGGCATCTTATTTTCTTGTAGCGAGGGGAATGGGAAGGGATCAACATCATTCTGAACCCCAATATTCTTGCATGCCTGCGTGATGTATGTGTACCTTGGTCATCCCAGGTTTAATTTCCTTTTATTTTTCACTTCCAGCATTTGTAACAATTACAGTGATGACCAAATGTTTAACACCATTTAGTAAATAACTTGGGCTATCTTGCCCTATCCTTTGCAGCTAATCTGATTTTATCCCTGTTAAATTCACCTTGGTCTCTCTGTCTTTTCTTCATGTGTTTATTTGTGTTATTTTATGTCTTGACCCAAAAGTAAAGGAAAGGACTTCGTAGTTATTTTATTATCAGGTTATCTTAGTATGTATCCTATCCATTGTCAGTTTTTATCTCACCTCTTGATTTACTAGAATTTGTTAAATTCTCTCCAAAGATACTACTCTACATTAGTGATTCTATCATCCCATTCAATTCCTTATATTCTGCAAAGGAACCAATTAATGCTTCTTTGTACAAGTAGTTTGTCAAAAATTATATTAAGCATTTTCCATATTTTTTTTTGTTTTTAAACCGGGTCGGTCTCCCAAATGCCCAGCCTGGCTGCCCGACTACCCGGAGGATATTACACTGGTAATCCAGACTGAACAAGGAAACCGCCCGCCAAATGGCTGAAAAGTGTTTTCCATATGCCTGCTCCATGCAGCAATACTAATCTGATACTGAGTATTTAAAGTTTGGTAACAGTTTTAATTTCCTTTGACTTGAAAGGATTTTAAAGCATGGTTATAATTAGAAACAAACATTATGCTCTATTGTCACAAGAAATTTAAAAAAAAAACATAACATCAATTGCTTATGATTGCCAATTTCTTCTTCTTCTGCCCATTATCTCCCTGTGGAGCAGAGGGCCTCAACCAATTTATGCTACGTCCTATCCATTGCTATCACATGCAGCTCGCCACAGGTCTTTCCTATTTTGCTAAAACAATATAATCATTAAAGTGAATCATAATATGATGCTGTAAAATCAACACTACTAATAAACATGAGAGAAATAGGAAACACAATACAGACACACTGACTGAATCTGAGATATCGGTGCCAGGGCTGGATACAACTCGTTTCATATCTTGAAGCCAAACCATTCTGACAAGCTGAGAGTGCGTGGTTCTCTCTGGCACGCCACACCGCAAAGTTGTTGTAGCCCTTTCATTCTCATACACTTCTGAAACATGGTCTGTCAAGAAGAATACAAAATGTGTGAATGATCTGTGTTAATGTTCTGCATCAAGGTAAAACAGATTACTATTTTATAATACAGGTGTCTTAAAACAAATTCTTATAAAGAGAAGTCACTGTCTGCATCAGACAAAGCAAATCCACATTCTCTGGATTGATGTTACTTGTTCTTTTTATCCATACTGACATTCTAGAACATCCACCTGACCCAATTGCGCCCTGTTCTCTGATGCAGCAGTCATCTCAGTATCTCCAAGCACACTGTGCCAAGTGGGAGTTCATTGGCATATCTTGATTTTTTTTAACCCCACAACCAGTTACTGAATGCTTGTCCTCGTTTAATACCCATTTTCAACAGGCAGTTCATTGTCTCTGACTCTTCTGTCTCAACATCTTTGGAATGCAGCACATTCAGTATGTCTGCACTGTCCATACTTCTCCATCCTCTAACCATTGCAAACACACAGTGAGCCTAGAAAACACCACAACAGCCATAAAATGCTGGGGCTTGTTCTGCAATGTTCTGTAAGGATACACAACTAACTTAAATAATTGTGGTGTGTACTGGCACCTTTTTATAATTCTTTACTGTACCAGCACCTTTTCTTCTAGAAAAAAAAAGGCCCTGAAGACAATTGTAGTAACAACAGACTACAGATAATTTACCAATAACTGTGTGCCGATATTGCATAAAGTAACAGCATACACATAAGTGTAACTTATAAATATAAAGGCTAAACTGTCTACAGATAAACATAACTATAGCAATTACCTGCAAGGCTGTACCCAAGTGTGTTGGTCCAACCTTCGCCATCAATAAGACTTGCCATTTTGTAAGTCACAGATTTATCATTCACAATAAAATTATCAATCATTCCTTGGAAGAAAATATTGTTTTTAGTCAGTTCATTAATTATTGCCCAATCAAGCTGTCCAGCACCACCGACGTAAATGGAACTTCTAGGCACATATCTATCCCCAGCAGGGCACATGATCTGCATGGCGTCTCCATCATTCATTCTTATTTGCCCCTCATTTCCAGTGGCTGACACTTTGAGGAAATACCACTGATCTGTCTGAAAGAGATAGATGACAAACAGTATCAGAAAAAAAGTTTCCAGTTGCAATTATCAGCTCTCAACTCTTGCAGTCCCAAGTAGTTCTTATATTCAACAGTGTCTATCCTTAAGTTTGTGTATTTTAGAACACTTCTTTTTTTTTAGTCTTGACATATTGAATAGTATAGTTTTGATACAGAAGAAGTAACAGTAACATGTGAAATAGAATGGGTTAAAAAAAACCCAGAAAAATGGGACATAACAAGCAAAGAAATGAATATCATTAAAAGTGTAATCACTGAAAGTGCTGTGAGTTCATTGGTACTGGCCTGTATTTATGGAATTTAATGGTTAATAAAGTGTTTAGTTACATTACATTCTGGTAATAGTTTTTACATATTCCTGTTATATGTAAGTATATGATATACAGGAATATGTAATAACTATTACCAGAATATAATATAATTAAACACTTTAATAACCATTAAATAGCCAGAAAACTGCTGATCATATATCCAATTTCGTCCCTTTTAGGAAGAAATTTTTTGTCATTTGAAGCCCTACTCTGGCTTTTGCCAGGGGCCGCAATATAGGCAGGCCATATATAAGGCCAAATGTCTGAACGCGGTTTCTGGGACCTCTCCACGGCGATCATCATCCACATGGTGGCACTTTTCATCAGGTGTTTATCGCTTGTGTGATGTCCTGGTGGGGTAGAAATTCAGTTCAGTTCAGTTCAAAACTGCTAATAAATCATGACAGTATGAAAGCTGCAGGGAAGGAGAGGCAGAGGGAGACCGAGATAAAAGATGCTGGACAGTTTTATATCATGGCATGGAGTACCATCTGTGTCAGAGTTGACTGAAAGTGTATGAGACAGAATGTTGTGGAAAGACATGACTACCATCGCCACACGGCATAGACTTTAAGAAGAAGAAGAAATCATTAATGTAGTTTAAAAACAATAAATGGCTGGCTCCTTTGATTCAAGGTGCATTAAAAAAAAGTCAGGAAAAATTCTACACCAAACACGCATGCCTTTAGAGAGTTGAACACTGTGCAAACTTCTACTATCCTATATTCCCCAAGGCTTCAATCAACACAAGTCAGTTGTATTTTGCAGCAAAAGCTTTTCATGGGATGGGGTAGACAACCCTAAATCCTAACCAACCTTAGGTACCTCATAAGACTTGTTTGGTGGGATGCTGTTGAAGCATTTTTTTTGTGTGCTTCACCAAAGGGGTTCCTTCTTCTTCTTTGTGATCAGTTTTGTATGCTCAGGTCAGATCATCAGGTGGGTTGCCTCTATGAACTCGCATGTCAGCTACAGGTCCTGCATGGTTCCCCATCGCTTGCTCTGCACACTTTGCTTTTGAGCTAGGTTTCTTTTTGAAGTTGTAGGTAGAGTGGGCAGGTCTGCAGAATGTGCTCAGGTGTTTGTGGTCCTGTCTGACAGGCACACTGTGGGGACTGTACAACTATAAGGTATTCAACAGTGAATAGACCAAAACGATGATTTCGAAGTCTCTTTTATCTAGTATGCTGACCACATCACCTGACATGAGCATTCTTGTCTAGAAAATATGAGCCTAGTCTCATATACCTGATGTGCTACTGGCCTGTAAAGGGAACTTAACTTTCAAGGGGTAGTGCACTCTCCATGTTGTTAACCCTACCGCCTAATGCTCTGAAAGTTGCGAGTTCACTTTCACATTGCATTATCCAGTTTGTGAATACAGCTGTTTTGGAGTTTCCTGGGCTTATTGTTGGAGATCCCTGGGCTTATTGTTAGAGCTACAGAGTTCATGCTTGGTTAAATGTCCCTGCAGGAGAACCATATGGAATAATACTCAACACAGTGAAGTAAGTCCCCTTACTTTTCAACATCGTTCTAACACTTTCAGAGTTAATGTTTGCTTGTACTGTACTAGACGGTTTATTAGTAATTCATACATGAAGACTTTAACCACATTTGACATATGATACATTGGCTGAGACGCAAAGAGTTAAGCTGCATAAACAAAATGTAAACAAGTATTCCTGAAAACAGATTTTGGAATCCACATTTTAGCAAACCAGGCACATTCGTGGATGAATCATCTCCCGCAGCAAATGTCTGAGAACGCCTCAACATGGGACATATTTTTTTAATTATTTTAAAGCTTCACCCCGGCTGACGATGGGGGCCCTAATATAACTTAACGGTTGAATGGGGTTTCTAAGACTTGTGCCTGGGTGATCTTCATCCAAATGGTGGCACTTTGTGTCACTAGGTGTTGATCGCTCGTTGTGCAGTCCTGATGGGGTTGAACTTCACTCACTTACAGCAAATGTCCTAAGGTGTAGGTGCTAACTGTTCCCATAGCACTTATTATACACACATCGTTCTCTTCCTTTCATGTGTCTCTCCTTGCCGTATCCACTCCTAATCCCAGGTTCACACATTCTCACAAATGTTATTTCATCTAACCTTGTGTCTTCTATCAGCATTCACTCATAAATGGTCTTCAGAATCTCTACTTTGCCCAGTATGAGTATTTCCGTGGCTAAAGCTTTTGTGGTAAATAAGTATCTTCTTCTTAGTGGTCGCTTCCTGCAAAAACTCTGGCAGAAAGTTCTAGTTGTTCGTCCATTTCAGGACTTTGATCTTGTTCCAGAACTTGAGTTCTGCATGGCACATCTATTTTACAGATCTGGCTTATTTGTATGCAGGCTGTTGGGTCTTTGCCTCTAAAGAAAGATGCACTTTAATTCTGAAGGAATCTCCCCTAACTGTCTCGTATGACATGCTTGTTAGGGAGGCAGTGAATCCATTCCCCCACCCCTCTCTCTCCAACATAAGGCCCCGGAACCCCACAAGAAGAATTTAATAAGTATCAAAGAACACACATCTCAAATAAGTTAAACAGAATTTGCTACAAACCTTTAATTCATAAGCTTTACGGCACAGTGGCTTCTCGCCACAGTTGAGACAAAATTCTAGGGCCCCATCCTTCACGGTAACAGCCACAGAGGAGTTGGTTTCCATCCCACCATTGAAAAACAACAATCCATTAAAGCCAGTCAGGTAAAAGATGATTAACACTTGCAGGTAAGTTGACTTGCGAAAGAAAATATGAGAATAATATTTGCCCTTGAAATTAGGGTGCCTAGCATCTAGCGCTGAAATGAAAACAAGGGCTAAAGGTTAAATATTGCCCCCAGTTGTGGGAACAGTTGACCTTTCACAGTTATAAGTTTATGATATATGGTATCTGACTTCCTTCTTGCTATCTTTCTATTTCAGAAATATCCCATTCATATATTGGTTCCTAGTACAAATTTGGGGGGGGGGGGGGGGGGGGGGAAAGAGACCAACTGGCTCTAACAAGCATGTCATAAAAGCCAACTAATTAGGGGTGTTTACTGAAACGTCGGCGTGCCTCTGCCTAAGCAGTGAGGAACCAACAATCTTCATTCAAATAAGCCAGATCTGTAAAATGGTTTTGCACACAAAACTAAGTTCTGGAACAAGATCAAAGTCAAGAAGTGAATAAACAGTCAGAACTTTCTGCCAGACTTTACAGCATATGAACTCAGAAAAGAAAAAATACCTGTGAAACTCATTTATAAGCTTTATAACAGTCTTTAGCTGTTCTATTTCTACAGGGTTTAAATGGAAATCAAAGAAAAAGAAAAGAAACTATAAAAAAAATCAACAGTACAGTACTTTCTCAATTGTTTAGAAAGGTCAGTACAAAACCAATATAACTATATTATCTACAAAGGCAGAAAATAAAATGGTTTGTCCACTTAGGACATGAAAGCCACCTTTACTTCACGGGACATGTACTGGTACACACTACAAAAATGTGCACTTATGTGGATTCAGACCAGAGATCTCCAGGCTGGCAGGCAAGCATCTAGTAACTGCACCACCAGGATCCAATTTATTTTCACGGTTTATATGATATTCTCAGGAGTTTCCCAATGTTCTCCATTCACAAGGTAACAGTTTAATGATGGGAGCCATGATGGCATAACAAGGCTCAAAGGTCTTTAGTTCGAATCCACATACAGCAGGTTTTTTTGTCAAATAACCTGGTCTCCCAGGTTGATCCAACCTGTAATGAGTACCAAGAAGAATCATGGGAAGTAAAGGTGGCTAGCGTAAATGTTGACCCCACCACCCATGAAGTGCTGATTGGCCAATAAAAAAATACGATTCTAGCATATAAATAGTCCTAATAGTATACAAAATCTATCATGCATTATGTGAAAAGATATGGAAATATGGTATTTGGCCAAAAGACTGGAAGAGAACTATCTTCATTCCAATACCAAAAAAGGGTGACCTGAAATTATGTACAAACTATCGAACTATTGCCCTGATCAGTCATGCAAGTAAAATTCTACTAAAAATTATAATGAGAAGACTGCATAAGAAAATGGAAGAAGAGATTAATGTAGCTCAGGCTGGATTTAGACAGGGAAGAGGAACAAGAGATCATATATTCAACATGCGTTTAATAATAGAGAAGTGTAGAGAATTTAATGTAAATCTGTTCTTATGTTTTGTGGATTATTCAAAAGCATTTGACTGTGTACAACATCAGAAGCTTTGGGAAATCATGAGGAATATGGGCTTTCCATCACATATAGTGCAGCTCATTAAAATGCTCTATCAAGACCAACAAGCAGCAGTCAGAATAGATGGAGAGACATCAGACTGGTTTGGCATCAAGCAAGGAGTCCGTCAGGGATGTGTGCTGTCACCGTATTTGTTCAACCTGTACGCCGAAAATATAATGAGAAATGTAAGAGATGATATAAACAAGGAACAATATGATGCCCTAAACATCGGTGGTCATGAAATACCAGAAATTCGTTATGCTGATGATACAGTATTACTATCAACATCACAAAATGGTTTAGAAAACTTATTAACCTCACTCCAAAGAAATAGTGAAAATCATAACTTATTTCTTAACATAGCAAAAACAAAGATAATGCATACAAACAAAACTGCCATGGAGAAGGAAATATATGTTAATGAGGAAAGATTGGAAGTGGTGGAAAATTTCGAATATCTTGGGTCACTGGTTACCAACAATGGCGACACAATGAAAGAAATTAAACGGCGACTATCAATTGCTCTTCAAAGACTAAAACAACTGAATAAATTATGGAATTGTACAGATAGAACTACAAAGGTCAGATTTTTAAGAGCATGCATCTTTCCCATTGCAACATACGCCTGTGAGACCTGGACACTTACTAAACAAGCGGAACAGCGCATAAATGCATTTGAATATAAATGTTACAGACAGGTTCTAAGAATATCTTGGGTAAAGAAAAGAACAAATGCATCCATACTTCAAGAGCTGAATATTGAAGAGGGTTGGCTAGTAAAGACAATAAAACAAAGAAAATTGAAATATTTTGGTCACTTGAAACGTCATGGAAGTCTAGAGAGAACAATAATGGAGGGGTATATGCCTGGGAAGAGAGGAAGAGGAAGGCCAAGGAGAAGATGGGTGCAGGATGTGGCAGATGATCTCCAGATGGGTGTATCAGACGCAGGACATCTTGCTCAGGATAGGAAGGTTTTCCGGAGGGTTGTTATGGCAGCGAGGTTCCGCGAGGGACATGCTACTGAATGAATGAATGAATGAATAGTATACAGAGAATTTCTTACGTAGCTGGATTTTATCGACATTGTTACTGTCAGAAGGGGCTCCATAGCCAGACCAAGATTTCATGTTGAATAAGATCAGAACTTTAAAGTTTTTCCTGAGGACTGCAATGACGCCATGAATACCTGAAAGCAACAAACACACAATTGTTAAATAAATGCTTATCTTGCTTTAAGACAAACACTCATATAAATTTGGTATGAGAGAAAAATAACTCTCTGCTGGTGTCTTTCTGCTGTACGGACTCCAAAACATGTCATGCAAGAGTGTCCTCTCTCGGCGTAGCTGTGAAGCAACATGTGGTCAAATTTAGTAGACTGACAACTAAGCTTTAGGGAAACCTAAGAGCCCTTGAGATGACATCCCGGTTTATGGCCCATGGTAGATTAAGCACATGACCAGAGATCCCTGAAAAAGTAGAAGCTTTAAAACACATAAATATAGCTTTTCTTTTTTTCAAATCCTCTATCTCCTAGTAGAGTTTACGCCCAAACACCTGATTTCTATCAAGACTTCCTGTAGTATCCAAATGCTTTTTCTATGAGTTTCACTACTGTGCATTTTGGCATATAAGTCGAGCTTTTAGGCCTTGAAGAAAATAATTTTTAAACTAAGGATCAATGTATAAGGCAGGTGTAAAATGCAAACTTTTACCACATAGTTGTAACAAGTGGGACAGCCCTCTAAACAATCTTTTACACCGATTACCGTACCTCCAGTAGGCTGATACAAACATATCCTGTTATTAACAGAAAAATAAATTTGTGGTCTATCAAACATGTGCCATCTCCACAACAAAGGTTGGTTGCAAGGAAACTCCAACAGGCTCTGTCTTTTGTCTAGGTAGTACACCTTCTCAGACTGCTGTTCATCCATCTCTTCATTTTGTTCTCCCACTTGTATCATTGTCTACCTCTTACTCTCTTGCTATAGACTTTTCCCTCCAGTATGGTTTTTAAAAGTTTGTTATGTTTTTAATGTACCCAAATTATTTTTAATGTTTCTTTTTTCACTCCACAACTATTTTCTTATTTCAATTGTTATGTTGCCCCATATGTCCTCTTTTATCTGCTTCTTTCCTCTGCTTCTATGAGCACCAGTCAATTTGTCTATCATTCAGTTTCAATCCAATTTGCACTTTTAAAAAAAATATATTAAGTATATGATTCCAGAAAATGTATTTCTATACTGTCTGCATTATGTAATTGTTACTATTACTTTATGTAAGATACAAAATAACATTATTATTCAGCATTTGTTTCTCTCTTAAAATATGAATAATTATTTAGAATATCTGGTCCATACAACTTGATGCATACTATTCTTCTTCTTTTGTTCGATTGAAATAAATTATATATAAATTATATATCTGCAATGCTGTCTCTAGTATGAACTTTGTGAGTTTTTTAATTAACATAGTGGCCCGTAAAGTTTGGCTTCCACTAGTGTCTCTCTTGGCTAGAAGTTTTGTCTGGAAACATTGTATCTGGGACAGTCTTGGAGGATGGGGTATGTTGTCTCAGGTGGCAGCCCACAGGTGCGCACAGCTTATTCGCCAAACTTAAATTTTGTGTAAATGTGGCTGCAAAGTTGATTGTGGCCTATTCTAAGGTGTAGGATAATAACTTGCTCTGGTCTGTCTATAATATGGTAATCATCTTGTGCAAGTTTTGGTGGCTTTCTGACCAATTTGATTATTTTCTTCTACTGATAAGAGACTGGTACTGTTCTTCAGTTGCACTTTCCTTAGCTGGTTTATCAGCTCTTTTATTTCTGGGAACTCCAAAGTGGGATGATATCCAATGCATAACTACCTTACACCGGTTACCTAGTTCAGATAGTAGTGTAAAGATGCTCAATGTACACTCCTGCTCCTCGGTTTCTGATGCATTTTGCTCTGCCCCATCTGTGTAAATACGAACCCAAAGATTCTGTGGGTATTCATCATCAAGTAGACTGAGGGTGGCTGTTAAATGCTGCTTTTTTGTTAAATACTTTCCCTTCTGTCTTGATGTGTACTGGAAACTTATACTCCTCTCTCTAGGGGGTCCATTCTGGAACAGCCTTTAAAGAGTTTTCAGCTGCAGGCTGATCACTAGTTTTGCTTGCAGAGCTGTTTGGCCTGGTGGATGAAACAGCTTCTTTTTAGTCTCCCCATAGCTAGATTTTGGAATTTTTCCTTCATAGGGTGTCTAGACATGCTAGTGTATACTATATATTGTTTACTTATTTTTCTTCTCCTTTTTCTGCTTTTACACTCTAAATGGTATTTGGCACACTGTAGTTTTTACAGCTAGGTTGCATTATCTGCAAAACCATTAATATAAAAACTCCACCACATGACAGTGTTCACAATAAGAAAATGTAAAAGCAGTAGTAATACAGAATTAGTTCTATTACTGGCATATGTAAGCTTTAAGTGACCTGGGGTCAAGACCAGAAATCATGTCTAGGATTGCCCAGACAACATAAGTCCTTGCCAAGCAGCAAACTTTATGGAGATCCAAAAACATTTCATGCGAAACTAAGATTTGATTGCTCAGAGCACTAGCTATTAGCACATTTATATATGGCTGTGAAATGTGAAACTTCATAGCTGAACTCGAAAATAAGATACAAGCATTGGAAATGTGATATTTCAGAAAAATTCTTGGCACATCATACGGAGACCACACTATAAATGAAGAGGTTCACCATATAATTTTATACAGCACAGCACATTGGCAACTGTGAACCTTTTAACTACAGTGAAAAGATGAAAAATTCTATAGTATGGACATGTAATAAGATCTAACAGCCTCTCAAAAACAGTAACGCAGGGCTCAGTAGATAGAAAGAGGAGAAGAGGCAGACCAAAAGAGACCTGGTTACAGAACCTGACCGATTGGACAGGCCATGAAGTCTATCGCAACTGATCACCAAAGGTAGAGAGAGCTGATTAGGCAGTCAACAGAAACTGGTGACCCAACGACACGTAGTGTTATGGGATGATGATGATGATGATGATGCAAGCTTAGGATTTAAACAAATACAGAGTGATAGACAAATAGATGGACAAATTTACAAAATCAACCGCTATTTGGTCTTTTTCTCTCTGTCTCTTTTTCATGGATGCACACAGTGACTAACCATCTTGTTTAAACCTGTTAGCCCCAACCATGAAATCACCATCAAAACTGAGACCTTCCTTCAGCCGAACTGGAAACCTCCGCACGATTTGCCCCTCATCATTTAAACGCATGCCAGCCCAGCTCACTGTCACTATCACAAAAATGTCCAGCCACTTGTCCAACTAGTGCATAAAAAAAAAAAAAATAAAGCAGTAAGCATGTACAATATATTAAACTCTTCACAAATACACATTTGTAAAAAAAAAAAAAAAAAATGTTGAATGTTGAATTAAGAATCGACTTGGCACCCACTTAAGCGCTCTGTCCCCATCTTCAGCAGCAAGCAAAGAGTTACAATTCTGATGGTACCAGCAACTGTCTGATTGTAAATCCGTCTCGCCCTTCCCCTGAGTGTCGAGCGTCAGCCAGATCCCCTTGTAACTCCCCCTTGTAACTTTGTAAAAAAAATATTTAAAAAAAATGGGAAAATCTCCGAAAAATGTACAGATTTTTATTCCAAAAGTACTGGATGATGTTGGTATAATCATGTCAGCTGCCTGTACTCCTCGAAACATTTCCTGGTACCTAATTTGTTAATATCGACCTGGAAGTACAGGTCAATGAAAAAACTTCATGAATAGATTATATAAATGTATACATGTGTGTGTGTGTATATATATATATATATATATATATATATATATATATATATATATATATATATATATATATATATATATATATACTAAACAAATAGACATGTACTGATTGGCACTTATAGAAGGCAGTAGAGACAGGACACACTAGAGAATATAAAGTTCAAAACCTAGTTGTCTGGTGTGTCCTATCTTTCTACTTCTTTCTTTGAGTGCTGGCCAATACACGTTCGTTCATTTAATATGTGTAATTTTTCTGCAGCTTCAAGGTTTCCCCATCTGTTTATTTTTAAAAATAACTACTGTGTTATCTAGGACTCCTAACTCAGTATGAACAAGGAATACAGACACAGTTTCTTATCAAATCTCTTTCTCACTTTCTGTCAAAGATAAATGTCAGATATATTGTATATTTAACACTGTCTCTCTCACTCTCTCTATTTCTCTCTGATTCATTCTGTCTCTCTCCCTGTAAAGAGGTTTTTCTCAATTCACTCTCCCTCTCTAAAAGTTCTTTGTCAAATATTTATATTATGTGTGTGAATGACTTTCTCTCTCTTTTTCTCTCTCTGTATAAAGGTGTTCATCAAATCTTTCTCTCTCAAAGTTCCTTGTCAGATATATTGTATATATATCTGACTCTCTTTCTCTCTCTGTAAAGTGTTATTCATGAAATCTCTCACCCTTTCAATGTTCTTTGTTAAATACATTGTTTATATATTTGACTCTCTCTCCGTAAGCTGGCTCTGTGGCTAAGTCGATGCGAACGCTTCATAATGCTGGTTCGATCCCAGCTGCAGGCCATGCGCCTTGCATTGGTTTTGACAGTGGTATCAAGAAAGCCGACCATCCAGAAAGCAATGGCAAACTACTGGATGAAAATATGCCTAGAAAAACTACACAACAGCCAGGGGCTGTTGGGGTTGGTTCTGCATTGTCCTGTAAAGGATATGCAACTAACCTCTCTCCGTAAAGAGGTTTCATCAAATCTTTCTCTGTCATAGATCTTTGTCAAATATACTCTACATATATCTGACTCTTTCTCTCTTTCTATTTCTCTCTATGTAAAGAGGTATTCATCAGATCTTTATCTTTCAACGTTCCTTGTCAAATTTATATTTATTTGACTATCTCTCTTTCTCTGTAAAAAATTTTTTATCAAATATTTCCCTCTCAAAGTTCCTTGTCAGACAACACTGTATATACAGCTGACTCTCTCTCTCTTTCTCTCTCTGATTTACTCTCCCTCTCTTCTTCTGGTTCACACTGTCTCTCTCACTGTAAAGAGGTTTTCATCAAATCTCTCTCTTTTAAAGTTACTTGTCAAATGTATTTTATATATATATATATATATTTGACTCTCTCTTTCTCTCTCTGATTCACCCTCTCTAATTCACTCTTTCCCTCTCTCTTTCTGGAAGATTCTTGTCAAATATATAAATTCCTCTTGTATATTTACATTTTTTTTCTCTACAAAGAAGTTCCTTATCAAATCTTTCTCTCTCACTCACACAAACAAACAGACTATTTACATATTTCTCCAGAAGTTTCACACAAACAGTTAAAACCTTACTTCAACTTCAGTGGTAGATATTATTTTCGTTGGCTCCTTCAAGGTGGGGGTTTTAATTGCCAGGTGTACACTTCTACCAGCCATACCAAGCATAATGCTCAAATCACAGTCGTCGATTCCAGAGCCACCACAGTCATCGGTCTGAAATTATAAACATATCTACTAACTAAAGACGCTCGCCTGTGGATCTGAAGGTTGTGGGTTTAAATTCACAGAAAGCCGGATTCTTTTCATACTATACCTTGTTTCCAAGCTGACCCAGCCATAAATAGGTACCAGGTAAAGTCCTGAGAAGTAAAGGTGGTTTGCATGATGTTGACCACATCATCCATCCATTTGTGCATAAAAATAATGCCTAGCCTCATATACCCAAGTGAGTAATGTTCAACCCTACAAGGACTGCATAACGAGTGACTAACACACGCTGACACAAACTGCCAAAATTCGAATGAGAATTCTCCATGAACAGGTCAAATAAATCTCGTATTAACACACACTGACACAAACTGCACACATTCGGATAAGAATTCTCCATGCACAGGTCAAAGAAATCTCGTTCAACCATAAGGTTATGACAGCCAGGGTGGGGCTTTAAAATAACAACAACAAAAAATTCAGAGTTATTAACTTGTTTAACTAAATTCAACATCTTATAACAGTCATAGTATACAAAAATAGGAAATCTTATTTTAGCATATTGTTAGCACTATTAGGAGCGGCTGACCGAGAGGTTACAACGTTGGGTTATCATGCAGGAGACCTGGGTTCAACCCCTGGTAAGGTGATGGAGTTTTTCTGTCAGGGGCGAAAATTAAACATCCTAACCTGCACAGTTCGTAGTGACAGCACTAGCAATGCCACCCTAAATCCTCAGGCTCATGACCCCTTGTCTACACTGCCCTAAAAACTGGAAAAAACAGGCAGTAGTGACAGACACTTAGCATTATGATTGGGTCATCAGTGTTCCGAGAAAGTATCATTTAAACAATGTCACCTCTCAATACTCTAAACGAGAATTTTGTAATCGCAGGAAAAGTACTTAATTTTGACTGTTCTGAAGTAGGAATTAACATTGTAAATTTGGTAACTTATAAAGTGACAGATAATTAATGCATTAAGGTTAAAATCACCAAAACTGCGCTAAGATGACTGGCATAATGTCAACGATATTGATGGCTATCCATCAACTGTTCTAACAGCATGTTATAGTAAATTAACAAATTAACATTAACAAATATCTCAAAAACTCCTGTACGGATCAACATTAATTTTTACATGACCTTATGATTCTATAAGTTACAATTACACAGGTGCTGCTGTTTTCTGAAAGTGGCAAATTTCTTTGATTTTTGTTTGACTAGTAATTTCTGTACCACTTAAAAATATAATGTGATTGACATGCATGTGGAGATTGTTTGGAAATCAGTTCACATGTGCAGCAATGTGAAATGATAATTTTTGTGTGTGTGTGCCTTATCCCCACTAAATAAAAAAATTCAGAGCTCTAGGAAGACTTAGGCTGGAGATGACCAACTGAGAGTAAAATGCCTATGGCATGCCTGCAATTTGATGTTTTGTAAGGTTCCCCTTACACTTAAGGTATAAGGGCAGACCTTAAAAATTTGGAGAAAAATTGAATTAGAGACACAGTGAAAAATACATACAGGTCATGGGAATAATAGCAGTGGATAATACAACTTGACCTGAGTTGGTTGAGGGCCTATGCTTGACTGAAGAAAAGAGGGTAGAATAAGAATAAAGAGGCATATGTCCAGACATTTTAAGGCATGCAAATAGGTTCTTTACTTACAACACGGGTATGAGTGGATGGGAAAGAAATATAAAAATCCTTAATGCTAGTTACCTGGCTATTTATTGGGGTTGTCTTATCCTCTACACACGCACACACAAAACACCCCAAAGAAAGCAGTAAGGTGCCTCTTTTCCTCCGCTAGCCTATAGGATACCTTTGGGTAAGTTGAAGAACCTGTTTAGCCACTCTACCTGGGTAATAATGTGAAACCTTCATAGGAGGAGGTTGGTAACTGAACTTGAGAGCAACCGACAGACAAAGGTTGGTTATGGTCTCTAGTTCTCCAGTGGTAGGCAAAGTCATATCAGAGTAGCTGCAGACAAGAAGCACCTCCTGCATGAAGTCCTGGGAAGTCACAGACTGAAAAGAGGAAGGTCTTCGGTGGCGCAGGCTGAAGATACAATTATACATGTGGGCAATCTTGATACATTTTGTTGAGGAGAGGAGTAGGTCCAAGTGTCAGAGCAAGAATCATATTTGTGTAGGGTTCTATAATCACTTCAGGTCAGGAGTGCTGGGACTGACCAGAAGATGCTGCAGAATCAGAAGTTCAACAAATGATTCATGATAATTCCCATCCAGGTGATGTGATTATCTTTACAAATGGCTCTGTGTTGAGAGGCAGACAAAGTGCATAGGGGTACATCGCAAAAGCAAATGGACATCGCTTAGTGCAACAAAGCCTGGCCTATGAAATTACGTCTAGTTTGAAAATGATGGAGGGGGTCACTGCTGCCTTTTGCATGAGAATCAACTGTACACACATGTCGTAATTGTAACTGACTCACAGAGTATGCTGAAATAGGTACAGACAGGCAAGCTCCGTGCAGATTGGCAAGCATAACTTCGGAGCTCCCAGGTAGTTAGCGACCTTTGGATTTTTCTCCAGGTCATGCCAGTATGTTCAGAAATGAGAAGGCAAAAAGAGTGGCTAGTTATGTACAATTTAGTGGTGAATTGATGAGCGACAAGCTAGATATTGTGAGGGCCCTTTGGAAGCAAGTGAACAGTGAGGGAGGCACAAACAGATCATTACAGTCTGAGGAGAATGGTGCTGCGAGGAGTTACCAGGAGATCTGGCCCACTCAAGGGAAAGGCAAGATGAATATAAAATCAGACAGTTACTGGTGAGATTGGAATTGGAACCCTTTGCTTGCTGCTGAAGGTAGGGAAAGAGCACTTATGGGAGTGTCACAAGTGCTGTGATGTCGATTCCTAATTCAACATATCTTGTAGGCAGAGAATCACACTCAAATGACAATGGCTATGGTCAAACGACCAGTATGGGCACTGCCAAGAAGCAATGGCAGAGTATCTTCAAGATTCAAAGAATAGTCATTATTTCAAAATTTAAAGAACAATGAAGTGATACATTCGCCCAAGTGTCACCGAGGCCCTCACGGAAAGCAAAGAATAGTGACACTGCACCCTACCAGGCATGTCGTAAAGGGGGGCCTAAGGGTAGGGTTGGGCTTGAGGTTGGCTACCTCATCCTAAAAAAAAACAATAGCCACAAAAACCAACCAACCATGGATAAGTCAAAAAGAGAAGCAAGTAAAATCCAGCCAACCAAGATGAAGGAAGACTCTTCAAGTAGAAGTATGACACAGTGTGGAGAAAGCCGAAAGGAGTCCGGATCATGGACATACCTCCTCTCAGCTAGGAATTCCTCCGGGATTGGCAAGTTAGAAAGATGGGAAGGACATGGGGAAGGCTCTATTTAATAGTGAAGGATAGAACAACTTGGCGTTTTGGTTGAGGGCTTATGCTCCATTGGGAGATAGAAAGGCAAAAGAAGAAGAAAAGGTGATACATTATTCTAGTGATAGCCTAACATGACAATGTACACTCAGTGGCATGCACATGATCAGGACTTTTCACCTGTCTGTTCCCAAGGTATGCAATACTGTCACCTTTTTAAGCAATATTCTTTTTCCAGATCTATTAAAATAGACACTCTGTTATGAGTGCCAACACCTTTTAGAACACTTTATAATTAGTACCAGCGCCTTTTAAGACACTTTCTGATTAGTACCAACACCTTTTAGGACACTTTATGATTAGTGCCAGAACCTTTTAAGACACTTTCTTATTAGTACCAGCAACTTAAAATACACTTTATGATTAGTACCAGTGCCTTTAAAGACACTTTATGATAGTACCAGTGCCTTTTAAGACACTTTCTGATTAGTACCAGCAACTTTTAAGACACTTTATGATTAGTACCAGTGCCTTTAAAGACACTTTATGATAGTACCAGTGCCTTTTAAGACACTTTCTGATTAGTACCAGCAACTTTTAAGACACTTTATGATTAGTACCAGTGCCTTTTAAGACACTTTATGATAGTACCAGTGCCTTTTAAGACACTTTCTTATTAGTACAAGCAACTTTTAAGACACTTAATGATTAGTACCAGTGCCTTTTGAGACACTTTATGATAGTACCAGTGCCTTTTAAGACACTTTCTTATTAGTACCAGCAACTTTTAAGACACTTTATGATTAGTACCAGAGCCTTTTAAGACACTTTATGATAGTACCAGTGCCTTTTAAGACACTTTTTGATTAGTACCAGCAACTTTTAAGACACTTTATGATTAGTACCAGAGCCTTTTAAGACACTTTATGATTAGTACCAGTGCCTTTAAGACACTTTATAATTAGCACCAGCACCTTTTCAGACACTTTCTGATTAGTACCAGCAATTTTTTTCTAGGGACAAAAGCCCTGCACATGATCATGACCATTCTACCTACATGGTGAAACAAGGTCCCTCTTTCTTGTATCAACTTCACCCTCATGAAAACCATAAGAAAGCCGGTGGTTGTGCCTCGTTTAGCATACTGTAGATAGCCAGCTCCACGAAACAGCACACCATAGTCATCTTCATCTAATCAGGGAGAAACAAGTGGAGAACAGACAATAAACAAAATCTAAGAAACTGTCTTTAGGCATTTTAGGTACATGATCAGCTCTACATGTTTAGACCAGTAGGCACACAATGCAGTATGTGGCAAGTATCATATCAACTACTGTTATTTCTCAAACATGTTTAGACCAGTAGGCACACAATGCAGTATGTGGCAAGTATCATATCAACTACTGTTATTTCTCAAACATGTTTAGACCAGTAGGCACACAATGCAGTATGTGGCAAGTATCATATCAACTACTGTTATTTCTCAAACATGTTTAGACCAGTAGGCACACAATGCAGTATGTGGCAAGTATCATATCAACTACCGTTATTTCTCAAACATGTTTAGACCAGTAGGCACCCAATGCAGTACATGGCAAGTATCATATCAACTACCGTTATATCTCAAACAATGCTCTGGAACACATTTTAGGCCGGGTCAAGCTCTGTGCTCTGGTCACTGGAAAAAACACTTTACAGGGACTTGATTATCACTAATCAATTAAATCATCATTCATCTAAGTCATTTAATCAATCAGCAAGTCCTTTACAGAACATCACTCTCTTCACGGCTAGCCTGAAAGTATCCCTTTCCCTAGCCAGCTCTCCTGCCCCGTGTGCTTTCAATGCCAATGCCTCATCAACAACCTGAATCCATCTTCGTGGTGGTCGACCCCTGCCTCGCCTTCCACAAACTGCACCCTCCATCACCATCTTTTCCAAGCCACCAAATCACCTCAGTGGTACTTGAAAATCAAATAATTATCAACCAAATGATGCTCGAATATAACTAATCAGCCAATTCATCAGTCTTCTTCTTCTTATTCTCTTCCACCTTGCACCTCATCGAAGTGTCGAGGGAAAGATGTAATGTTCGTTGATGAGCTCTGACAAGAGCACTATTAAGACTAATGTTCATTTCTATAAGGCTGTTCTTAATGCCATCTTTTCCGAGGTCTTCCACTTGCTCTATACCCGTTGTAACGTTTTAGTGTGGCTTGCTGTGGCAGATAGTACCAGGGCATTCTTGTTAGGTGTCCAAACCACTTCATTTATTGTTCTTTGATGACCTGTAAGACTGGCTTTATTCCTAGCATTCGTCTGATTTCGTATTCTGTCTTTCCTTGAAACTCCTGCAGCTCTTCTAAGGCATTTCATCTCTGTTGTCACAATTTTACGTTCATTGGAGAATGTAAGTGTCCACGTTTGGCATTGATAGCATAGTGTTGGCCAAAAAATTCTGATAAGGTTCATTTTAGTACTCCGAGGTATATGCTTGTGTGTCAACAGGGGAGATAGTTGCTCCATTACTTGATTAGCTTTGGCAAAATCATCAGTAAGTCAATTAATTAATTAATCTTTTGAAATTACCCATCAATCAAGTAACCTTTCAACCAACTGGTATTTGCATATCCACAATAAATTAATCTTTGAATATTTCAATCTTTTTAAAAATCAACCAGTCTTTGACTATAACAAATCATCAAACATTGTCAGTTCTTCAATGAGACCAATCAATTAAATAATCATGCAGACAGACCAAACTGTTTGTGATATCTTTTACAGGAGAACATCTAGGCATAAAGTGACAGGATGATTTAAAAAAAAAAAAAGACTGATAGACTGTGTAGCGGAATTCTGTAAAAAGATTTTTTTTTAAAATGCACCACTCGAGAAGAACAAGATAAATACAGAAAACAATGACAAAGGACTACAACCCTATCGCAGTGTGTAGACAAAATAAGAAAGGAGAGGAAATAATCAAAAACAAATCATCTGGTACTCAAATAACACCAGTCACATGGACCTGATGCTATTACACATGATCACACTAAGTCGAGAGTCTTCACTTGGTTAAGCCATCTGCTTCATGCTGTAAAGGTTGTGGATTCGTTTTATGGCTGCATTTTTCGGTTCACAAAGGCAGTTTTTTCGGAGACCTCTGAGGATCATCATCGGAACTAAGGTCTCTATGCTTTGTGCAAAACTCTCAGCAGGTGGTCAGCCATTCTGCAGAGAAAGAGACTCAGCAATATGGATAAAACCCAATGCACTGAAGTATAGATCCACTTGACTTTAACCTTTAACCCTTAAACTATGTCATTAGCCAGTTTGTCTCTCATATTTGAGACAGCATTTACTCAGCACTAGCTAGGAAACATGTTGTACCTCCTAGGAATAATAGAATGACAGATTCTTTACATGTGCTCACACAGTGTCAGCAAGGGTTAACTTATTCAACATCAAGCAACTTGTCATGCATATTTTTGGTGTCAACTAACATGATATTTTGTTGTTCTGCATTTCTAGTGACCTATATAAATTTTACAATCACAAACTTTGCCCCAGTTCTTGATGAAGCTGCTGCTGCTGCTTATTGTTCTCCTTCTTTCTTTTTTCTTGGCATGGAGTTACTTCTTCTTAATCTTCTTCTTCTTGAGGTGGAGATACATCTGCATCAAAACTGATTAGCAAAACATGTGACAGCAGATTTTAGATAGGCAAAGTGAACATGCCAAACATAATTTGCATCAAAAAGAACAATGCTCACCTAACTTTTACTAACAAGTTTATTATAAAGTTCTTTTACTCAGAGAGCACAAAACAGCTTAATAAGTAAGTTGAGGACCCTTTTCCCACAAGTGGTGCACTGGGCATATGATTCTAGATTCATATTTTATAAACCATTCGGCACTCAATAGGTCTTGTGGTCAACTGCACACAGCCTACATGTTTTTTCTAGACTGGGTCAAACTGGGAGGCAAGGTAAATTTTTTACATTTTCCAGTGTAGATTTGAACTCAAGACCTACAGGTGACAGGCAAAGGTCTATTTAAAATACATACAGTGGTTCATAAACCAGCAATGTGTAACACAGAAATCAGAGTCTTACCAACACAAGGACCTCCAAAACAGGTTTGAACTTCTGATCCCTGTCCTTCGCAAGGTTCACCACCATACACTGGTGCAGGATCGGTGCAGGTTCGATCCCTAAAGGTCATTCCCAGCCCACACGGCAAGCTGCACTGAGACCAGCCGCCCCAAGCCGCCCACATGCCATTTTCTATTTCATAAAAACATTTTACTTTTCAGAACAGATCTACTGATTTTTACTGTTTCTTTTCTTGATATTTATCCTTACGTCCTTTTTAGGACGTAAATTTTTTTGTTATTTGAAGCCCCACTCTGGCTTTTGCCAGGGGCCGCAATATAGGTAGGCCATAAGTATGGCCAATTGTCTGAACGCGGTGTCTGGGACCTCTCCACAGTGATCCTCACCCACAGGTGGCACTTTGTGTCATCGGGTGTTTATCGCTTGTATGATGTCCTAGTGGGGTAAAAAGTCAGTCAGTCAGTTTCTTTTCTAATAGCAACATTCATAGGGAACAACAGAATGTTGAGTATAGTGCAGTGGTTCTCAGCCTTCCTAATGCAGTGACCCTTTAATACAGTTCTTCGTGTTGCAGCGACCCCAACGATACAATTATTTTCGTTGCTACTCATAACTTCGGTCAACATTTGTTTTCCGATGGTCTCTTGTGACCCCTTTGAAAGGGTCGTTCACCCTACAAAAAGGTTGCGACCCATAGGTTGAGAACCGCTGGTATAGTGGATGTAGAAAGTAAAAGATAAGCCTCAGTTTGAATAATGTTAAGCAGTAACAATTGAAAGACCAAAAAACGGCCCTTCTAATTCAATTGGCAAACAGTGAATATAGAGCTCTTGATAGATCAACCCATTTGTCCTCTCCGGGTTGATTTCTAACTGCTTACTATATCATTCTGAGATCAGGAAATCATCTGGATGGCAGATAAACAGTGGATAAACAAGGTGGATAATTAAGGTGGTTAAACAAGGCAGACAAACAAGGCAGATTCCAGTTCAGTCTCCAAAGAAGTTACCATTAGGCCAGGTAAAGGTAAAGGTAAAGTCGGGAGATGTGAACCAGTGTCCTTGCACACGGTTATAAACCATAAGTGCTCTGCCACCAGTACGGACAGCTGATAAGAATTGTCCACCTGTGTCGCCGTTCGCACATAACTCTGTAGCTACAGCAACGTTCCTCCATTTACCCCAGAGTGTCAACTCTAGTGCCCATTTCCTAGAGGCTGGGTAAACCCCAGAAACCGCCCAGTTTCGAACACCGACCGTGGCTGCAGCTAGTCACAGCTGGATTTGAAAGTGAGTCTCTTATCGTCTGCGCTAACGCGGCTTCCTTAGGCCAGGTGTAACCTGCAGTACTATAAGGTAAGGACGATGTGGCTATCTAAAACCACATAATTACAGACCAACTGGCATTCGATGAGTGATGGGGTCAACATCATTGCCAGCCCCCCTTTATTCCCCAGGATATTTCTTGGTGGGGTCAGCCTTGGAACCCAGATCAATGATAACAAGTCACCTTGGTGTGGATGTGAAGGGGGGAAGCAAAAGTAATGGTAATTTTGAAGTCATGGAGCGTGCCTAAGTGTGTCAACAAACTCAGGTTAACTGGTGCTTTCTCAACAAATCTTCAGGCTGAAGTATGAAAGTTGGAGAAGAAAGGGTGAAGAATAGGTGGTGAAGAAAAGAAGAGAATAAACAAAAATGTAAGAGAAACCATTTAAAATACAGTCACCATCAATAATTGTGCCTTCAACTCCCTTTATATTTTGTACAAGCTATACATTTATCAGTGCAAAAACAAATTTTTTTTTTCCTGTGTGCTACCTCCACAATAAAAGTTGACTACAATTCACCTAGGGCCGTCTTTGTAAATATTATGTAATGGGGCCTTAATTTCTTCCATGGTGCAATTCTCACACCACTGTCCAAATGCCATGACAGTTCTGCTATATTGTTTTGTTTCTTAAAAGAAACCATCTGCCAGATAAATCAAACTCCAGTTTGTCGAGGAAGACTCACACCGGATGTCTCTTCAAAACCTGACGCTGAAAAGCAGAACAGGATTAGAGGAGGAGAAGAAGGAGGAGGAGAAGAAGAATGTCAAGGCTCACAAAACTGAGAAATGCTTTCACTAACCTCCACAGAGCCACGCACTGTTAATAATAGTATTTATATGCTCAGAATGTTGAATGTTGAATTAAGAATCGACATCCTAGCATTCGGGACACCCACACAAATGCTTTGTCCCCATCTTCAGCAGCAAGCAAAGAGTTCCGATCCCCATGGTACCAGTAGCTGTCTGATTGTATATCAGTCTCGCCTTTCCCCTGAGTGACGAGCACTGGCCAGATCCCCATGTAACTCCTTGCAGCGCCATTCTCCCCAGACTGTGTTGACCTATCTGTACCTCTGCACTGTTCAATTGCTTCCTAAGAGCCCTCACAACATCCAGCTTGTGATACATCAGTTCACCACCAAGCAGTGCAGAACCGGCCAGTCTATCTGCCTGCTCATTTCCTAACCCACTGGCTCAGAATAACATATCTCAAGAGGCAGACCAGGCAATGTACAGCTGAACATTAGACTACATCTTCCATGGTGCATCAGTCAATAGTCAGATATGGCTGACAAACTGACTGTTTTCGTCTAAGGGCTGCTAACTTAAGGTCTGATATTTTTACTACCCAGAGCTACATCCTGGATGTCAGTAAAACATGGTAGATCCCAGACACACTATACAACCTACTAAAATTGTTGACTATTCACCTTTGTCGGTTACACCTACCTGGCATACCCTCCTGTCCTGTGTAAAGGAACATTTTTGACGCCTTCATGCCACACTGTGTAAATAGTGCTAGACCATTTTTGTTCCATGCCCCACCTTTCTGAAATTTGTATGCCCTCTGGGTAACATATACATCATTTTTAATATCCAAATATTGTCCCCCTTAACAATCATAGGCCCCACGCTGGGAAACACTGCTAGACAGTGCCTAAACAGATGTATGACTGCACATCTCAGTGGGATTTCCCCAAGAAAGGTTGGATTATTTTTTGTCTGGCTAATTCTCTTTATCTGTGCCTTTCCCCGAAGCACTTTTAGACCCAGTTTTTGTGATCTCTCTTAAAGTATGTTTAATATATCTTTCATCAGATTTTGTGGGAAATGTCACAAGAGAGGTCAAAACTATAAAGCTAATCTTGTTTGGGTCCACCGAATGCCACTTTCATTGGTAAATTGTTGCTGTCTTAATTATCCAATCTATAGCTAGTAAAAATAAGAGAGATGGATGGCACTACATTGGGTTCATCCTATATAACTCTCTATAGAGCAGCTGGTCACCTGCAAAGGGCATTGCACAGAAAGCATGAACTCCAAAACTCGAATAACAAATGGAGTCTGCAACACTCTCACACAACAAATAATGGTAGGTTTTCTTCATCTGCATTACCACATAAAGGGGAGACTGGTGCACTGTGTTGTGGCTTATCGTTAGGTTGCGATACCTGCATATTTTGGCCCAGTACATCCCATTTTAGCAAACCATTCATTAGTTGCCTTTTACAACATGCTTTTTGAGGGTAGTGGGTCTGTTCTTTTTTCCTTGGAATGAGGTCTATGAACCAACACAGGGAGATGATGGGGATGATGGTATGTGAAACCAAATCTAAATCCTTCAGAGAGTTAACCACTTCACCATGGAAGCCTTCAAAACTCATGTCAAAACAAAGTATTTCCCTCTGTGGCTTCCAGGGCTCCAACATGTAGATGGTGAGATAGACCCACTGGTGACCCCCCTTTCCCCACACACACAAACACACACACACAGTCATGTAATAAAAGTAAATTAATTATGTGCATTTCCTTGGAAGTCAGAGTGCATCTGCCTGAAAGGCAAGAAATCAACAGTCTGCATAAGATGTGCCAGATTTGTAAAATGGATGTGCATGCAAAAAGTTCTGGAACAAGACTAAATACTAGAAGTGGACGAACAACCAAAACTTTCCTCCAGCTTTTACAGCTGGTGAATGTTAAGAAGAAGAAACCTTCACGGTTCAAAGAGTTACCTTGGCAAGGAATAGCATTGCAGATGACCTTCTCTGTTCTTTGTCTGACGTAGTAGATGGATCTGTGCCTTGTTCTTGTACCACCACCGCATGTAGCACTGCAATCCGACCACAGTGTCCATGGACCAAAAAAACGAGAGCTAAGGCCTAGGAGAAAATAATGTGAGAGGTGACAGATTAATGGGCTGAGTTGCACAGCATGATAATAGGTAACACCTGGTTTGAACATCATCCTGGAAGATTGTGGACTTGGAAAAGTCCTGGCGATAATGTCTACAATCAGATTGATTATATTTTGATTTCAAGAAGATTCCAAAGCAGCTTAGTTGCAGCAAAGACTAGATCAGGAGCAGACTGCTTTAGTGACCATGTTCCAGTTATAGGAAAGATTATAATAAAACTAAAGAATATCAAGAAAACACCACAGAAAATCAAGTTAAATTTAGGAATACTTAAAACGGATAAAGAAATTAAGGAACAATACAATGTCACTGTACAAAACTAGTATAATGCAATGAAAATAATACAGACCATTGATGAACAGTGGGACATCAAAAGAGATAATCCCACCAACCCATAGAGTTGCAAAAAATGAAATGGATGTCAACCAAAATTCTGCAGTTGATGGATGGAAGAAAAAAAATGATAAAGAAAAACACTCTAGAATACAAAAAGAAATAGTGAACAAATGCAAAGTGGCTAAAGAAGCCTGGCTGAATCAAATGTGTACAGAGATTGGGGAAAATCACAGGAAAGACTCATATTCCATGTACCAACAAATAAATATGTTAACAGGAAAGATAACACGTAACAGCACTGGATGTTTAAAATCAAAAGATGGTGACTTATTAATGGGACATAGTAATATAATTAACAGATGGACAGAGTATATAGGGGAATTTGATGATAATAGACCAGAAGTAGAACTGCAGACCAACAATGATGGTCCACCAATAATGACTGCAGAAGTTGAGGATGCAATACATCATATGAAGAAAGGAAAAAGCACCCGGGCCAGACAACATCTCACTGGAATAAATCGAAGCACTGGGAGATTTTGGAATTGAAATAATAACTAAACTTTTAAATGATATTTATAATAGTGGGTATACTCCAAATGACCTTTTAAAATCCATATTTATAGCTCTGCCAAAAAAAAACAGGCACTTTAAAATGTGAAGACCTTCGCACAAAAAGTCTTATGAGTCACATGACTAAGATTTTACTGAGAATAATTATGAGAAGAATAAGAAACAAAATTAAACCAGAAATCAGAGATGAAAAATGTGAATTTGTAGAAGGAAAAGGTACAAACAATGCCATATACATCCTAAGGACATTGTCAGAAAGAGCTATAGAAGTAAAGACTGATTTGTACTTATGCTTCATAGACTATACAAAAGCATCTGACTGTGTGAAACATGAAGTAATCAAACTGTTCGAAAAATTAAACATTGATGGAACAGATCTTCGAATAATAAAGAATATGTATGCCCGAAATTGTGGTTGGTGGGCACAATATAAACAATTTACGTTATGCTGATGACACATTCTTGATAGCAACAAGTCAGAAAGAACTACAGGAAATGATAGACATTGTGGTGTTAGAAAGTGGAAGAATGGGCCTCAGTTTGAATAATGGGAAGACAGAAGTAATGGTGGTATCAAAGAAACAAATTATTCCTAAATGTGTAATAAAAGTCATTAGTGTTATTTTGGTACAAGTACAGAAATTTAAGTATATGGGCACATGGATAACATCAGATGGAAGTTGCATTACTGAGATAAGAAACAGAATAGGACAGGCAAAAACTGAATTTTATAAAATGAAGAACATCTCATGCAATATATCTTTGTCACTGAGGGTTAAAAAAAGAATTCTTGCATGCTATATACATCCAGTTTTTAATATGGCTGTGAGTCCTGGACAATCGGTAGGCAGGCCAAACAATTTCTTGAGGCCTCAGAGATGTGGTTTTACAGAAGAATGCTTAGAATACCTTGGACAGCCAAAAAGAGCAACCAAGAGGTTTTGAAAGAGGCGGTAGCCCAAAGACAACTTATTACAGTCATCAAAAGGAGACAGTCATTGTTTTTTGGCCATATTATGAGAAGAGGGAAAGCGGAACATGTTGTAACCAATGGAAAGATCTCTGGAAGGAGGGAGAGAGGAAGACAACGAGAGAAGATTCTTGACAGTCTTGTTGCATGGCATGGAGGTGTGTCAGCACACGAACTGATATATGCTGCAGGAGATCGCAGATTGTGGAGAGGTGTGATCGCTCACGCCAGTCAGCAAGGCACCTGATGATGATGATGATTTAGCGAGGAACTGTGAAGAAAAACAATTTTCTTGAAACAAAGCCATTAAAAGTATTATATAATATAAATCCTGTGATTCTGCAGACACATTCTTTAATATTTCTTTTACTAAAAATTAAACAACAATATATTTATGTCATTTGTACATTTAAAAGGTGTTTATATTTTAGTTTTGTGAGATTAGCTGGTGTCACAGTAGGGGCTTCAGTGCTTTATATAGTTTAGGGCCTCATCAAATGTAAATCTAGTAAATAACATAAATGTTATTCCTGTTTCAGAGGCTACGGGCTGAATACAGAAAAGTTAACATCAAAGACAAAGAAAACATTTTACAGGCAACCCTCTTCTCAAAGTTCAAGCCTTATATTGTGCTGATCCATGCCAATCCACAATCCTTTGCCACACCAACAGCCAGTAACGTTTTGTTGGGTTTTGTCTCACACAATGAATTATGCGTGACTGGGTATTATTCACAAGTACTTGCCATTATGCTTTTTTTTTTTTAAACTAATTGTTTTATTTTCTGTGATGCCAGTGAAATGATGCAGCCTAGAACATGATCATCTGGCCCTTTCTCTTCTTATCACCTCCTAACTCAAAGTGTTTGCATCGCTTGATGGGAAGCTGTTTTCTGTACTTGCATTCTGTGCATTCCATATGCAGCACAATCTTTTTTGTGGTCTTGGCCTTCTTTCTGAGCACAGGCTTAGACTGACAACCATAAGCACTCTGTTTTCTGTTGTAACGTCTTTTACTTGTGCAGACAGTGAGACTTTCCCTGCTTTGTACTGTGTCACTTTGTGGACTGTGTGCTTGTTGCATTTTTTGCCTTTACAAAATGTGCAGTGCTGTTTTTGGAACGTTCACCATGGTTAAATTTACATATCTTGTCATCACTCTTCATAACGCCAAGGTGCCGAGTTCAATAACAGCTGCGGACGATTTGTCTTACGTTGGTTTTGTCAATGGTACCGAGAGCTGACCGTTCAGAAGCAAATTACTGACTGTAAAATGTGTCTAGAAAAACCACAACAGCCAAAAAATGCTGGGGTTGGTTCTGCAATGTCCTGTAAAAAGGATACACAACTAACAGGTCATCATGTTATTTACATTTTTACATCTTATATTTAGTGAGGGACTGTGGGAAAACTCTGCAAACATATTTTTCAATCACATGGGTCGTATATTTGGCCCATCTGGAGGTGGATACCCATGAGTTTAGTATTGCCATCCCTTGGATTTTAGCTAGGACATTGAGGGACTGAAAGAGTTAACTCATTCAGTACCAAACAACTCACCATGCGGTTGTTGCTCTTCTTCTTCTTCGATCCTTCTGTCAGAAAATTTTTTACCAGGAGATCCCCCTGTGCGTTCCGGGGCCCTATTGTAGGAAAAACAAGAACAGATCCCCTGCCTACCCAAAAGCATGTCATAAGAGTCGACTAATTGGGAGCTTCCTTCAAAGTCAGGTACTGAGAGGCAAGGAACCAACAGTATAAATGTAAATGAGTCAGATCTGTAAAATGGATGTGCATGGAAGACTCAGTTTCTGGAACAGAAGTGGACGAACAACCAGAACTTTCTGTCGGTGATCATGAAGAAGAAGAAGAAATATACCAGAAGACTGGCTGCGTTGATGAAAGCTTTCATGCAGCGCATATCTTCCTGTGTACAATAAAGCTTTGTCTTTATTGTGGTTGGAACAGTAGAAATGGCTACTCTGTTAGCAACATACAATTTACAGTGTTTAACTGAAGATTAGGAATACACTCTGACCTACATCTATCTCCTGACTTTCTGTTTCTCTTCTTAGGAATCTAATCTCCTCCTCACATTTTGTGAGGATGGGATGGAAGAAGGAGGAGGGGGGAGTGGTCTTGCTTTATACTTAAGGGGGAAGGATAGGTGCTTTTGAATATATTCAAGGGAGCATGGGGGGGGGGGGGATCTCAATGGGGATGTGACCAGAAAAATATTGGAGACCACCGGTCTAAACCTGGTTCTTCAACCCGTGAGATGGGAAAATGTTCAGGTGGGCCACCAAACATTTCTGCCAAATCAAATTGCAGGGTAGTTAGGTGGTTTTTATCTTCCAGGATTGTAATCTGTAGGATTCACAACTCAAGGATAACAATTAAACAAATGATGTTCGACATAACAAGTCAGCATTTAAAGACACTGGCTGAAAACTTTGAATATCATGAAAAACAAAAGCTGATCTATTTAGCTTCTGCTCTCAATCCTGTGTCCAGACATAAAATGCAATCACTGTCTGGGTTTTGAATAAAACTGGGGGGGGGGGGGGGGGGGAAGAATATCCATCTCTGAGTTATAGAGCTATTTCTCGCGCTACATTTGGGGGTTTTCGTCATTACCCCCTTGGCTGTTTACAAGCCAAATATTTTTGTAAGCCTCAGTGAAAGAGGCAGAGGGTCCTGACATGAGTCACTTGATACACATTGTTTTTTAGGTCCAGGGAATTGTATTCTATTCAAGGCTTCATTCTATTTGTGTTTATTGATTCTCCTCTGTACACCTTTAAATATTTGAAAAAAAAAAAAAATTTAACAATTTATTATTGACCTGTGTAATATGGTTGGATTTTTTTTGGGAATTCCCTCGAGCTCATACCCATTGTTATTTAGTATTTGTGGGACGAAAGATTTAATAATAATAGCATGGCAATATCACAAAATGTTTGTACTAAGTTTGTAATAATGTAAGTGTTAGATCCTTGTATCACAAAAATTACATCTAAACGTTTAGATTTCTCTGAAACACCAAGTGAAAACTAAGTAGTTACGTGAAAAGTAAACATTCATTTATTTAGACTTGTAAAGTGATCAATACTAGCTCTGAAAATGCGCTTAAGTGAAAATTATCAAAACTACACTCTAGGACTCTGGCATAGTACCAACAATATTCTGAACGTCTTTTGTCCTTTTCTTCTATTAAATTAACCCACTATACCACAGTGGTTAATTTAACTAGTTCTATCTCACATCCATTTTGTTTTTAACCAAGTTTCTTTCTTTCTGGAAAAATGTTGGCGGTACTCTCAAGATGTCTAATAAAGGGTGTTGGTATGCACCCCAAAGTGTAATTACAGTACCAGTGGAAAAAAAAAGATGACTGACTTAAAAAGATGCTGGCACTGTTCACCCTTGTGTGCTGTCAGAAAAAAGCAATAAACTCATGAAGACTTAAGATGTATACTACAATATAAATGGACTTTTGAGACAGAAAGTATAGTAGTAAAAACTGGTTTGAAAAGTTTGCTAGACTACTTACTCTTGCATTTTGTGAATGTACAGCTCCGAGACTCCACATTGATACCAGAACAGGAGCCACCATATAAAGGCAGGGGATTGTTACAGGGGCGATATCGCTCGTTTTCACCAGTTCCACATGTGACACTGCAGGGACTCCAGCTCATCCAGGACCCCCAGCCACCAGCAACTATCAGTACACATGCGTAAGTTATTGTTAAAATAAAAAAAAAAATAGTAAATAAATGAAAATAACTGCACTGGTAGGGTCAAAAAGTTCCAGGAACTGACGCAGTCAGGTATATTTGTATTTTTCATATTATGTATAATAATTATACATACACAGATTGAATTGTTTGTGTTTCATGTACAATTTTTATAATTTGTTTGGATAAAAATAGTGTCAATCTCCCAATTACTGCCTTTATTTTACCACTTTTGCGGTGTAGGCAGAAGGTGGGGGGTCTTTGATCCTGAGGATTTATGGCCACAAAGCTAGTGCTGTCGCCACAACTGTGCAGGTGAGGATTCTATTTTGCCCTGACAGAAAAAAAATCCCTAGCCTTACCGAGGATTTGGACCTGGGTCTCCCACTTAAGAACCCAGCATTCTAACGATTCAGACAGCCGCTCCTTGAAAATAGTGTCAAAAAATATAAATTCGACCACGACTATTCTGACTTTCGACCTGTTAGTCGGAAGCAGACCTGACGGTAGATCTATAATAGATTCTACCGATACAGGAGTGTTTAGCGCAGATGCACAAGAGCAAGGCTTGGAATGGATACTAAAGACAAATCATGCTTTTAAGGTAGTTAAATTTACACTGGAAATGACAACTGAGGAAGCCAAATTTTGTTAGCTACCTCTGCCAAATGTAAAATGAGGAAACATACCACATATTTCATAAAGCTATGTTTCCCCATCGATAATTTGAACAAAGAATTTATTTCACTGCATATTTCATGGCACCTTGTCAGGTGCAAAACAGTAAATATTAGTGTAAACAAAAAGATACGGTTGTGAGCCTGCCCATGCCCTGGTAAAACAAACAGTTACTTCAGAGAATGGTTGTTTAGTATTTATCTCTCTCAAAAATGTGTGTCTTAGGCTTTCTTTTGAACATTCTTATTGCTCAATCCGATTGTTTCCCACTTGAGTGCCTGTTTGGCGATTCTCCGTTCGTTCCTTGTCATGTCAGTGAGTCATCATCCCGTAACACTGTGTGTCATTGGGTCACCAGTTTCTGTCTGATCAGCTCTCTCCACTTTTGGCGGTCAGTTGCGATGGACTTTATGGTTGCATGCCTGAAGCCTGTCTAGTCAGTCAGGTTGTGTAACCAGGTCTTTCTTGGTCTGCCTCTTCTCTTCTTTTTCTCGACTGAACCCTGCAGTATTTTATTTTTAGAGGCACTTAGATCTTATAACATGCCCATACTATTGCATTTTTCGTCTTTTCACTGCAGTTAAAAGAGGTTCATAGTTGCCAATCTGCTGTATAATTATATGGCAAACCTCTTAATTTTTAATGTGGTCTCTGTATGATATGCCAAGAATTTTTCTGAAACATCACATTGCCAATGCTTGTATCTTCCTTTTGAGTTCAGCTGTTAAGGTCCAGGTTTCACAGCCATATGAAAATATACTTATAGCTAGTGCTATGAGCATTAGTTTTGCATGAAATGTTTTTGAATCTCCATAATGTTTGCTGCTTGGCAAGGACTGATGTTGTCTAGACATGATTATTTCTTGTCTTGACCCCAGGTCACTTAAAATGGATCCTAAATATTTGAAATCATTGACTTGTTCTAATTTGCGACCTTTGACGTACATTGGTAAAGTCATGATGTACTCAGTAATTTGCCATCTTCACTGTCTTATACCCAACAATTCAAGTGGTTGTCCAGACATTACTCTTTTTCTTTTTTATTCATCTTTCTTGAATTCATTTAATTTAAAGTTCACCGGTTTCCTTTGGCATGTTTTTTTAAAGATTAAATTGTATCTTCTTTTAATGGATGTGTTGAAAGTGAAATAAAGAATTAAAATAGAATAACAAATATGTAACTTGGTTTTTAAAACACAAAATATAATTTGTTGCCAGGGAGTTACCAAGGTATCTGGCCGACGATCAACACTAAAGGAAAAGATGAGGCGGACATACAATCAGACAGTTACTGGTACCATCATAATTTGAACCCTTCGCTTGCTGCTGAAGATGGGGAGGGAGCACTATTGGGAGTGTCCCCTGTGCTATGATGTCAATTCTTAATTCCAAATTCAACATTCAAAATATAAATTTGACTCAAAATTACCTGGACACGGGTCAGGATTACAGAACTGCACAGGCATTGTCTCCCCCTTACAGACAGTTTTCTTATTCTTGCATCCACGTTTTCTTTGCCTTCTTCCACCTCCACAAGACTGAGTACATGCTGTCCAGTCTGACCACTCAGTGTACAGAGACTCAAGGTCAGGGTCCAAGGGGAGGCTGAATGGGTCATCATCATCAATTTTAGGCACCTGAAGATATAAATATTTAAACTGATACCATATCCCACCCCCACTTTAGACTCTAGGTTACTTTTTAACCATAAGTACCATAAAAGTGTCATAGTTACTTATTTCATAGGAATTGTCGCTGAAGCTACAGAGCATGTGTTCTGTGCTTGACGAGTAGCAAAGAGAGAGTGAAGAGGAGAAAATGAGGGAATGGTGAGAAAAGGAAGCAGAGAAATAATAGGGCGGAGACAGGAAATTTAGGCGAAAAACAGAACAGCTTGGTTTCAACCATGTAAGAGTGTGCTTTTGAAACTGTCGCAGTGCCAGCCAGAGAGGGCCCATACTAGAGAGGTTGATTCTGGTCTGGACAGAATAAGACACCTGGGTGTGACCAGAGGGTCTGGCCGGCTCACTACACTCAGAGGAAAGGCAAGACAGACATATAACCAGATTTTGACCGGTACAATCAGTATTGGAATTCCACGCTGGCTGCTGAAGATGAGGACGGAGCACACATAGGAATGCCCCGAGTGCTGTGATGTCAATTTTTGACTCAACTCAACTCAGCTCAATAGTAGCATAATGTAACTGTTAAATACAAATGGATTTCTGGGATTTGTTATGTTATATAATGTTATCACAATTAACTTCTGAACTCTAAAGGTAGACAACAGAGCAAATGATGTGGCCATGTAACAAGATTGGCATCAGACAGCAGTGTTATACAGATACAACAGTAACAGGCTGACCAGGCAAAATATGGACCGCAGAAATAGCAGAGACGCTGAAAAATACTTTTATGAAAATATTAAGCAAACAGTAGGGCCCATACCAGAGATCTCTCCTGCCCTGATGCCATGAGGCATTCCATGAGTAGAGAAAAGAAGAAGAAGATATAATGTTATCATAATTGATTGCACTGCACACTGGGCATTCCCATGTGTGCACAGTCCTCCGATGCAGCAGCCACCGCTCCAAGACCTCTAATGATTATTCCCATGTGAAGTTGATTATAATGCCTCTCGATCTCAGCGTTGAAGATAACACAGACGGGCTTCACCATGTTTTACTCCCAGGTCATGTATTCACAATCTGGGACTTGCTTCTATTTGATTCTCATCTATGAAGTGTTATTTTAATCCCACGGACAGTAATTTGGAGTGGACAAATTGCCAACCATAACTATTTCATTAATTTTCATCTCCCAAAATTAATCACTAATGACAAGAACAACATAACAGGCAACTGGGTTCTTGTATAAAGAAGAAATAGAAAAAACAGTTTCAATATAGGAAGCAGTCTTTGTGTTAAAGCCCCACTCCGGCTGTAGTCGGATGCCCTAATATAACCTAACAATTGAACAGAGTTTCTGCAACTTGTATCAGGTAAATCTCATCCAAAAAGTTGCACTTTGTGTAACTGGGTGATCTTGGTAGGGTTGAACACCTTTCAAAAACAGTTTACAATGAGAAAGGCAAATAATTGACTCCAGATGTCTTAAAGGTCTCATTGTAAATTACCATAAAATCAAACATTCTAATCTCTTAAAAGTCTCATTGTAAATTACCATAAAATCAAACATTCTAATCTTTTAAAGTTCTCATTTTAAATTACCATAAAATCAAACTTTCTAATCTCTTAAAGGTCTCATTGTAAATTACCATAAAATCATTCTAATCTCTTAAAAGTCTCATTGTAAATTACCATAAAATCAAACATTCTAATCTCTTAAAGGTCTCATTGTGAATTACCATAAAATCAAACATTGTAATCCACTTAAAGGTCTCATTGTAAATAACCATAAAATCAAACATTCTAATCTCTTAAAGGTCTCATTGTAAATTACCATAAAATCAAACTTTGTAATCTCTTAAAGGTCTCATTGTAAATTACCATAAAATCAAACTTTCTAATCTCTTAAGGGCCTCATTGTAAATTACCATAAAATCAAACTTTCTAATCTCTTAAAAGTCTCATTGTAAATTACCATTAAATCAAACATTCTTATCTCTCAAAGGTCTCATTGTAAATTACCATAAAATCAAACATTCTTATCTCTTAAAGGTCTCATTGTAAATTACCATAAAATCAAACATTCTAATCTCTTAAGGGCCTCATTGTAAATTACCATAAAATTAAACTTTCTAATCTCTTAAAGGTCTCATTGTAAATTACCATAAAATGGTACCAAGTAATGTCCAGGGAAGTAAAAGCAGCTGGCATCAACAACCATGTAACATAACCCTGGTCATATAAAAATACTGACATCTTCACCAACCATCACTTACATCAGTATCATCACTATCATGCCATCATTATCCTCATCATAACCAAGATGCAATCAAGGTCATAAACATCACGGGGGGAGGGGGGGGGGGTTGAGGTTTGAACAACAGATCAACATCATGGCACACAGGTAGTAACCCATAAGTGCTCTGTTCTTCTTCTAACTCAAGTCTGAGTCCGAAGAAGCTCAGCACAGTGCACAGGCTCTGTAGCACAGGCGAGGATCTAGAAATACTTTGGGTAGATTTTTAACTCCAAATTTTTGCCCAGGCAGCGCATTTAGGCTACCCTTTTCGATTTTCAACTGCCAAGAAATTTTTTACATGCACAACAATGCACACGGGTGTCCGATGTTCACTACCCAGAGACCAGGAGGAATTACTAGAAGTCCAAGTCAGTGTGAAAAAATCCCAGGCTTTACTGGGGATTGAACCCGGAACTTCTAGCACTCCAGGCGGACACCATGCCTCGAGACCACTGGGGGGTAAAAGGCAGCAGAAGAAAAAGATGGATTAGATAACATCTCCCAGAATTCTGGAAAAGGAAGGGGGGGGGGGGGGGCGCTTTTACTCTTACCTGGGCTCTCCTCTGTCTTTTCAACTCTCCTGTCAAATTCCCTTTTCCTGAAACGTTACTGAGTTGTCTAGTTGCCGATGTAAATAAAGACAAAGCTTTCAAATGCAAGCCTGCTGTTGCAACTGATGAAAAGTTTGGAGCACTTTTGGTGCGTTCTCGTTTGTTTATTATTTGAGTTACTATTCGATTATGACCAGCTAAAGGATTTCTGGGTGAAAACATCTGCACTTCCTGTTCTCCCAAATCAGACCATGTCTTGGAATTCAAATACATAGGTGGTGCAATTTCTAACGACCTTCTCCTCCTGACTACAGTTAGTTAGAGAAAACAATAAAACATCATTACAATTTGTATCATAACATTTAGAGTTAGAAATCTGATTTTAAAAAAAAAATTATGTTCTACAATGGCGGTTTGTCAGGTCGTCAATCAACAGTCTTAAGCCAAGTTAGAGGGAAACCCGTCCTGTCATCTCCGCCATACATGGAGAGATATTACATCTGTCCTATGCGAGGCCCTAGGCTCAAGAGGAAAGATTAACTAACTAACAATTTGTATCAAATATTTCAACATATTTGGTTTAAACCATTATTTCATCATCATAATCATCATTATCATCATCATCATTATCATCATCATTATCTTCTCCTTCTTCCGTGCTTTCTTTTAAATTTTGTTGTGGCACATTTTGTTTACGGTTTACAGTTAGGTTGAGATATCTATGCCTTTAAATCTAACACATTAAATTCTAAGAACACCTTAGTTAATCACATTTTATGATGCACCACAGGCAGACTATGATGAAAGCAACGTTCTGCAAAGTATCTGCTACATGATGATGATGATGAATCCTCATTGAGGTAAACTGTAAACAGAGATCTAGGCTACCAGCTTATTCTAGCCTCAAATGGATTCCAGATTATACAGAGCCAATCTTTATGTTAAATACCATATTACTCATCGACTGCTGACTGATCTAGTGTAGTATGTGACTAGCACTCTATGCTCATTCCAGGTTGACCCTTCCTAAAAAGGGTACTAGGTTAAGTCCTGGGAAGTAAAGGCGTCCAGTGTGATGATGACCACATCACCCACTAGGGCCCACTGGTTCAAAGTGCCTTATTTTTACTTTACTTCTTATAGTCAAGTGATAACCAAAAAATACAATAGCATCAAGGGTTAACTAATGTATATGCTTGATGTGCTACTGACATGAGAAAGGGGTCCTGTTTACTTTACTTTTTACAGTCAAATGATAACACACAATACAATAACATCAAGAGCTAACTAGTGTATTTGCCTGATTTACCACTGGCATGAGAAAAGGGTCCTGCATTTACTTTACTTTTTACAGTCAAGTGATAACACACAATACAATAACATCAAGAGCTAACTAGTGTATTTGCCTTATTTACCATTGGCATGAGAAAAGGGTCCTGCGTTTACTTTACTTCTTACAGTCAAGTGATAACACACAATACAATAACTTCAAGAGCTAACTAGTGTATTTAAAAAAAAAAAAGTATAGCTTCGTATGCCTGATGGTACTGGCCAAAAAAAAAAAAAACAGGGTCTTTTACTTTTGTTTTTTGTTGTTTCAAACTTTTATAATGTGCTCAATAGAATTTTCCTAAGGAAGTAGAAACTGGTTCAGACTTAACTTTTATTGAAAGCATGAAAACAATAAAATGAAAACAGTTTATATTTTATAAAATAATACAGTGTTTCCCCGATGTGAATTTAAACAAAGAAGACACAAACAATAGACTGCACAATTTATTGCATGGCATATTTCTCTGTGTTTCAGAATGTCCTCGAATTAGTGTTTTAGTTTCTTGGATTCAGCTATTTGCTTCATTTTAATCAATTGTTACTGTAGTATGCACTTGACGAGATACAGCGAAATATGCCAGGCAATAAATTGTGCAGTCTATTGTTTGTGTCTTCTGTGTTTAAGTTTATATTTTGATGCATAAATAATCAGATATTGTAATCAAATGCCTTGCCATTTGGCATTCATAATTATTTGTCTTCTTCTTCTTCTTCATGAGCATGGGATTGGTTTTCTCTTCCCCTGCTGACTCCAAGTGTTCACAGATCTGCCAGTATTTTATTTCTTTACCATCTTCTTGGTCTGTCTCATGGTCTGCTCCTGTTTA